AAGTGATGCGTACATAAAGGTGCATTACATTGTTCTCACTACAGTATGCCTGAAATAGTCCAAAGTAAAGGTTTGGTGGGAAAGGGTTGTGGTGGTGGTGGAAATAAACTCTCTCTGGTTATTTTGGGATACAGTATTAAGGATTTTTGGAGTACCCCCTTGAAATTAGTTCCTCTCATGCAGCATGTTATTAATCCCATTAATCAAAAACCATTTTTATGACCCTTCATTGTGCTGATTTGCAAGGACAGGAAGGATCCTTTATGTGGCAAAGTAGAGATCTCCTTATTTGCAACTAGATATCTTCCTGGAATTTAAGCTGTAACTGCTTACAGAACTGTGACGGTCCTCTCCCTCCCCCAGATAAGTGACAAGCTATCAGACTGATATGCTTGCTTCCCAGGTAATCAGTAACTTGGAAAGGTAATCAAGAGCCAGGATGTGCACTGAGTTATTTCAAGGAGTTAGACTCTTCTCTCTTTCTGGGCTCTGATTCTCTCAGTTGAAGCTCAGAAAAAACAAGGCCCTTCCTCCAGAGCCAATAGAAAGTACACCCCTTAAGGACAATTGTGCTCTGTCCTAGAAGGTCACTAAATGAGTCTGAATTGTTGATGGCAACAATTTTGTTTTCTATTTATAACATTTGAAAAATTTGGATGTTGAGTCCATAGCCCAAAAGCTCACTAGCACTGAGTTGATTCCGCCTCATGGCCATCCTACATTGGGTTTCCAAGGTCGTAAATTTTCACAGGAGGAGACTGCTAGCAGATCAGATCAGCTGACAGTTTGCACTGCTTGCCTTTTGGTTAGCAGATCAAACAGTATCTCAACAATGGACGCATTCATGCCAATGATTATTAAGAGAGCATAAGACAATTCATTGTTTCTTTCTGTTACAATCTTGTGTTGTTGAGTACAGTCAAGTTGGAACTGACTGATAGTTGATCCTCCAGTGGGTTTTCAGAGACAGTAAAACACAAATGTAGAACTCGCCTAGTGGAAAGAAGTTGCACTGCAAGCCTGAAGGCATGCAGTTCAAATCCACCAGCTGTTCTGTGGGAGAAAGACAGACAGTCTCCTCTCATGTGATTAACTTACCTCTGAAAACCCCCTGGAGGGTCACAATAACAGTATCTATAAAGAAGAATGTGGCATCAGGATTTGAATAAGACTCATCAACAAGCTGTGTTATCCAGAGGATACAATCTTCCTTGCTGAAACTGAGGGAGAGTTGAGGCACTTGCTGCAGAAAATCAAGTAACACAGCCTTTGACCTGGATTATATCTCAGCATCAAAAAAACAAAAATCCTTACCACTGATTCAATAGCCAACATCATGATAGGTGAAGAAGAAATTGAAATTGTTAACAGTTTCATCTTACTTGGACCAACAACACTCTGGGGACCAGTAGTCAAGTGACAAGAGATTAATAACATTGGGAAAGTCTTCTGTCAGGGACCTCTCCAAAGTTCTGAAAAGTGATGATTTTTTTTTTAAAGACTAATACATGTCTGATTCAGGCCACAGTCTTCCAAGCACCTGTTATGCATCTGGGAGCTTGACAATGAATAAGGATGACAGAAGAAAAATAGATGCCTCTGTATTGTGTTATTGGCAAAGAGTATTGAATATTCCATGGACTGCCAAAGGAACAAACAGGTATGTCTTGGAGATTGTGTAGCCACAGTGCTCCTTAAAGGCAAAGATGGTGAAATTTCATCTCAAATATTTTGGGCATGTTGTTAGAGGAGTTATTCCTATTGGGAAGGGATATCATGCTTGGAAAAGTGAAGAGTCAGCAAAGGAGAAGACGACTCACAATGAGATGGATTGACACAGTGACTGCAGCAATGGGCTCAAGTATGTCAAAGATTATAAAGATGGCACAGGATAGCACAATGTCAGATTGGCTGTCGTACTTATCTTAAGAAAAGTTGGATTTTCATTAATCCAGTTTGGGAAGATGAATGGAGCAGCTGGATTCTACAAAGATATGTTTTCTGATTTTGGTTGAGGCTTGGGTATGGAATGTTTGCTCACAATTGGGTGTGAGATTATTTAATTTGGCCTCGTATTTAAAAAGACATTTGATTTTAGTTGTTTTGGGTCAAACATTCTTCTAAGTGGTATAGCTCTTGTCTGTCAGTTTGATATAAAGAGGTAACTTGTGATTGCTATGATGCTAAACACTGTGACACTGTGTTATATGCAATAATGGTTACCCATGGTGGTCAGTGTTGGTCAAGCTCCCAGATTAAAACAAGCTTGGAAGCAGGAGTGGCATCCACTTCTGAAATGGCTTGCCTCTGGAAACTCTATGAACTCAGAGAAATGATAAAAGTTATACAAGTGTTCAGGTCTTGCATTCATAGGGTCGCTCTGAGTTGTCTATGACTTGACAGCACTTAACAACAATAAGGTCACTATGAGTTGTACTGTATTTGACAATATATAGCAATAACAAAAAGAAGTTAGAGCCAATGAAACAGCAACTAAGAACAACAACAACAAAAGTTAACCACTCTCCTTGGAGGTTTTTTGTTTTTGACGGTAGGATTTCTCATAGCCCTTCATTTGTTATTATGAGTTATCTCAGTCAGATAATAGTGTTCCACAAATGTATGTTGTTGTTGGTGTGTGCCATTGAATCAGAACCAACTAACAGCTAACCCACCTGTGGGTTTTCAGAGATGGTTAGTTGTATAGGAGGAGATGGCTTATCTTTCTCCCATGGAGCAGCTGATGGATACCTTTGGGATGGCAGCACTTCTTACCACTAGGCTACTAGAGCTTCCCCCTGCCAAATGTATATGGACTATTGTATATTAGACTCATATTGCCTCAGACTTTTTATTCTTGTCTTTCTCCAAGACCTTTGACTTTGGAAAGCCTGGATGATGCTGTGGTTTTATCATCCTTTTAACTTTTAGTACTGGTGCTATGTTAGCATTCCCTGGAGTGAGTTTGGGCTCCAGCATAACATCGTTGTGACCACTGCCCTGACAGCAGCAGCTCCAGCACCCATGACTGACCCAGCTGGACCACAGAAGCTGTGGATGCTTGCATCTCTTCCAGACTTGGCTGAACCACCACATAGTAAGCGTGGTGTGCAATATAGTTCCTCAAGAGCTCCTCAAAGGGGCTGAGTGATGCAACCTGAACGTTCAGGTGAATGAGTACTATGTGACACAAAGGTCAGCCATGAAAGAAAGGAGATGAGAAGGAGCCAGCCGACATCTCTCTCTTGCATTCATTCTGATTCTTCATGACCTGCCAGGAACTGCTCACATAACTGAGCAATCAACTGTACCTCAGTGAAACTGTGGTCAACGCGGGAATTTGACACCTGTATTTGCTTTCCTCTTTCTCTGCCTTGTTTCTATCTTCCTTTTTTGCCTCCCGCCTAGCTTCCATGCCCTTTTACTTTAGCTGCCAAAGGACTGCACCTCCCACTACAGTTTTAGCATTTAAACTTTGCTTCATGCTCTCTTTTTGGGAAAACTAAGGCAACATCATTCCGGCAGTTTTTTAAGGAGTTTATACTGAGAAGTGCTAGTTTAGAGAAATCTTGGAGGTTGCCTTCATAAATAACCACTTTCCTCCCATAATACTCAAAGAACTAAATGAGACTCGGATAACATAATTATTTGATCAAATGATATCAAGAATGATCTTGATCAAAGGGAGAATAATGTGGAACAGAGCTTCAAATTCTCCCAGAACCCAGACTTTTCAGTGCTATTGAGGCCAAATGACCCTCCTTCCAATTTTTACTCTGAGTAAATTTTTAAACTTTGACTGGAAACTATGCCCAAATTCACCCTTAAATGAAATAGTCGTGCATAATTAGAAAATAATGTTCAATTTGAGGATTGTGCTCTTTTAACAAATGATCTATAAGAGATCAAACAGGATAACAGCAATTACAAAGGTGAGATGAGAAGTTTAGTCAGGAGAGAGTGCTAAAGATAGTGAAACAATTCCAAAAAATAAATGAAGAATGGTCACACAACTTCAAAAATATAACCCATACCAATGCATTGTACATGCAGAAATTGTTGAATCAATGTGTTTTCCTATATTTATTATATTAAAACAAAATAAAATCATTCTTGGAGGAATAAGCCTAACCTTGCCATCATCCTCTTCCTCCTGCTACAAACTTCCTCCTTCACTCATAACTCCCTTTCCAGAAACCAAAAACCAGATGTTTTATTGAGTTGATTCCAACGTACAGTGACTCTAACATTCACAGTAGAATTTAGAGAATTTCCAAGGCTAAAGAAGGGAGCTCTGGTGGCTTAGTGTTAAGGAGCTGTGCTGCCATCCCAAAGGTACACAGTTCTAATCCAATAGCTACTTCATGGGAGAAAGATGGATAATCTCCTCCCATGAGATTAAACTGCCTCTGAAAACCCACTGGAGGGTCCACTGTGAGTTGGTTCTGCCTCGATGGTACACAACAACAATCATTAAGAAAGAAAATGGTTGCATTTTTCTCCAAAGGAGTGGTAGAGTGGCTGGAAGGTTGAGTTGCTGACCTTCTTAGTTAGCCATCTAGCTTAACTCCTGTACCATGAGGGATCCTTCTCTTCAGATAGAGAAAATATGGAGGGAAGAAGAGAGAATGAGTGCCCAGCTCTTTGATAATAACAGCTGTGCATTTATTAAAATAACATATACCACAAACTTTGTAGCCATCCCACATGGCAGGGATAGGCATCAAAATACAGTACATCATTCCTATCCAGGCCAGAGTGTTACCCAGGCCCCCCACTGAAGAAAGGAAATGACCAGACATCTCAGTCTGGCACCCTTTCCCTTTTTCTAATAATTGCCAGTCACACAATGACCAGGCGTTATCATACAAAAATTCCTTTACAAAAAGCACCAAATTGGCATACATATACAAGTTAAGTATATACAAAAAAAAAATCACATTTTAAAAATATACAAAATACTTCATTTTGCACAAAGGTAGAAAAATGTCCTATGTGGTTGTTTCAAGCACATCTCCAATTCTGGATCAATGGCTGCTGGACCCAGTGGTGGGGTCCTTCTCTTAATCTCTGCTCTCTGAGCAGAGGGAAAACACATCTCCCTGATGCCCCTCTGAGGGCCCCAACCCCTCCCACCCTGGGCCTATCACCGAGGCAGCTGGGCCCATCCCCACCCTCCCCAGGTTCTGCATCTCGAGGGTCTCGCATTCATTCCACTCTTTACTGGTGTCCTGAAAGAATAAAAAGAGACACGTAATGAGACAGGGAGTCCAGGAAGATCCAGGGCTCACCAGGCTGCAGTGAGAAAGAAAAACATCTGTCTATTCACTTCCTTTTTAAACCAAAATAGAATTCCTCTCCCAACACACTGTGGCTTGCACTTCCCATGTAAAACTCCCAAAGACAACTCTATATTTTTTGGCTGGATTAGAATTTCATTCTAGTAACTATGGCTTGAAAACTGGTATCAGCAAATAAGTATTGAGTTCTTCCTATATATAAGACAATGTGTATATTATTTGAGTATTTTAAAATTTACCTCATATAAAAATATTATGAGATCAGTACTGTGAGACCCCCCCAAACTCAGATGAGCAGCCCAAACTTTAGAGAAATGGAAATGTTCAAGGTCACAACACTAGTCCTGGATATACCTACAATTTGGAATCCAGGTGCTTATCAGCTCTGCCAGCTTAGCAAACACAGATGCCTACTTGGGCCAGCAGATAGCATGAGGAGTGAAGTTGGCAAGCTTGGCAGTGGTGGGGGTTGGGGGACAAGCTGGCAGCTCCATTTCCAAGGGGCAGTCCCATCCTCTCCAGCTGGAAGTGGGGACATGGAGGGAGGAAGGATAAACTCTTCTCGAATGTTCATGAGAAGATGGAGGCCCAGATTCCCAGTTGAAACTGGCTTTTGGTTGTTTGGGTTTTTTTTTTCTTTTAATTATCTACATTTTAAATGTTAGCAACTAATGGAAAAATATTTTAAATAGTATATGGATTGTCAAAAATTAAGCGAACCAAATACATTAGTGCCAGGCCTGGCTCTCTAACCACTGCTGTGTGGTGTTGCCATTCAATTAGGAAGGTCATTTAGATGGACAGTGGGAGACTTTTTGTTATGAATAGTTCAGTTGTGTTTGGTGTTTGGGTTTTTTCCAGCCTAAAGACCAGTCCTTGGAGAGAAACATCATGCTTGGAAGTGCAGAGGGATGGAGAAAGAGAGGGAGACCATCGACAAGATGGATTGATACAGTGACTGGGGTAATCAGGGTAGGTGTGTCAGAGACAGTAAAGTTGGCACAGGATAGAACAGGTTTCAGGGCTATTGTACATAAGGTCAATGTGAGTCGCAAGTGACTCAACAGCACATAGCAACAACAAGGATAAAAGTAATGAGATTTTGCTCTTAAAAGATTTTTTAAATGTATACTGGGAGTCTGTCTAACATACTTTGGACATGTTGTAAGGAGGGACCGGTCCTTGGAGAGGGACATTATGCTTGCTAGGGTGGAGGGACAGCGCAGGAGGGGAAGGCCCTCTATGAGGTGGATTGATTCAGTGAATTGGGATGGGTGTATCGGAGATGGTGCCATTGGCTCAGGACAGAGCAGAGTTTAGGGCTGTTGTACATAGGGTCGCTATGAATTGCAAGAGACTCGACGGCACATAACAACAACAATACTGGGAGTTAGACAAAGTCCCACCCTTAGTGCCCAGCACAGTGCTTTGCACACAATGGGTATCTCATGCTATTGAATGACTGAGGGAATAAATAAATGGAAGGGTGTTTCTTACCTTCTTCTTTCCCCTCTGTGGATTCCTCATCCTGCTCTTCTTCTTCAGTGACTTCTTCCTCTTCCTCATCTGTGTGACACAATGATCAGTGGTGCTGTGATCTGCTCAGAGGTGAACCCAGAGCCAGTGATTTTTTTAGCTCCCCTTCCTGTCCCTGGGAGTCAAATGGTCACCCAGAGGAAGCAGAGGCCTGGAGGTGAGGGGCTTGTAAAACCTAACCTGCCCCCTGCTTTTTCCTTTCCCTGCCTGCTTTCTGCCTCCAAGGGAGTATAGTCAAACTGTTCCAGTTCCTCTTGCCACCTGAACAGAGGAAATCTTGGGGCAGTACACTTCATTTTTTCTGCATATCTCTCAATTAGTCCCTGGGGGTGGGGGGTGGGGAGACAGGCAGAAACTCTAGGATCAAAGTCTTGGTTCTCAAGGAATTTGCTCAGCCTTTGAACTCAGCTTGCTCAGCACCCTTTCCTGTTTTCCTCATTGTTTAGCCTACAGAGGGATGGGCATGAGGTGGCGAGCACTCCTGGGTGATCTCTGCTTTCATTTAGCTCATTGGAGCTGAGCCACAGAGGGCCAATGACAGAGCTACAACTTAGTTCTCACTTTCTCATCTGAGATGTTACCTTTAAATTCCACTAACAGGGACTGCCCCCTACAACCTCCTCAAGCACTTTCTTTATCCTTTGAAGCTCTGAATAGCCACAGAGGAGTCACAGCATTTGTCAGGAATCTGCGCCTGTTTTGAAAAGGCTAATGTTTCTAAGAAGACAGTCAAAAGTCCTGTCAGGGAGCTTGTAACCTAGGGAGTTTCACTGTTATTATTGAATCATCACCATAATTACTATTCGGTATTTATTGGGCACCTATTATGGTCCAGAGAAAGTCTGGTGACCTAGTCTGTTGGGAGTTGCATTGCTAACTCAAAGGGTACACCTCTCTGGTGATTCAAGTCCATGACAAGAGAAAAATGGACAACAGGTAAGAGAGCAGTAAGAAGCCAACATTGCTTTAGTAATATTTCAGAGGGAGCAGTGTCCTTTTTAGCCTCTCACCCATTGCCATTGAGTCAGAACCAACTCATAGCTGACCTTCCAGGGGCGTCTTTCTCCCATCTGTCCCCCTTGGAGAACCTGGTGGATCAGAACCACCAGTAAGGCACCATGTATAGGCTAGCAGTTCCACTCTCTGGACTACATCATGAGCTCTTCCCCATGCCCTTAACCTAGCCTATAAATATCACCTCGGAACCTTTCCTTGTTGAGACAGATTTGGGAAGCTCATACCCTCTATCTCCTATGTGCATGTGTATAATAAAACTTCTGCTTTTTCCACTCCAATCTCTGTCTCCAACATTGATTTTACTGGAAGTACATGACAAAACCCTGTTTTTCCACTAACAGCTAGGCAATCTCCTTCCATGTCATTTATAGCCTCAGAAACCCAATGAAGGGTCAGCTATATATGTTAATTCTAACTCAATGGCAATGAGGTGCTTTTGTTTTTTATTCTAAGAATTATTATGGGCAGGAGTCCCTTTGTGGTTCATGCATTCAGCCACTAATCAAATATTGGCAATTCAAATCCACCCAGAGGCACCAAACTATCAAATACCGAAACCCATGTGGAGCATAGTTTTCTGAGGACACAATTGGAGCTGCCAGGGATTTGTCTATCAACCTGGCGACAATTGGTTTACTGGGTGCCAAGAGTTGTGTTAAGTGCTGTGCACACACTGTCTCCTTTAATCCTCACCAGAGTCTTGGGAATTAGGTATAAGGACTTAGCATAGTCCGGTAGCCTCCAGTGAGATTTGTGTGGATTGATTATTAGCTGTGTGGCCTGAAGCCAATGGCTCATCTTAGTTTTTTGTCTTTTCATTTTAAGATGAACCTGATAATAATAGAACTTACTTGATAAAACCTATTTACATAAAGAGATAAGTGCCTGAACATGGAAGGTGCTCAGTAAATGGTATTGTTGGTACTCTTTCTCAGGGAGATTACAGGGTAGTGCAGGTCCTCACAATGTTGTCAGTTCATACAGTGTGAGCGACTCTTGGATCAGCTCAGGGAGTTTAACAGTGGAGGAGGTGCCCTACAGCAATAGATAAACTCGAGTCCCTTGGCATCTCAGCTCTGGGTTGAATTTTGAACTGTGTTGTTCCCTAGGGCCTTCTAGCCCTTCACCAGGACTGTGGCATGCCTAGGATTCTGAGAACAGACTTAACCAGACACTGAAGGCTTGCAGTAAAGTTGGCACCGGAGGTGTTAAGTGTCTTCCTTTCTCATGTCAGCCTGTTTTAGTTCTTCCTTGTTCCTGTTACACACCTCTTTCTCATTCTCTAACTGACCATAGGAACATGATCTCAAAAACCGGTCATTCAAATTGAATCTGCTTTTTTTTTTCCTCTCCCTCAAGAGTTCTAATGGTGCAGTGGTTAAGTGTTCGGCTAGTAACAAAAGTTAGTGCTCCAACTCCTGAGATGCTCTGAAGGAGAAAGATGTGACAATCTGCTTTGGTAAAGATTACATTCTGTGTTGTTTTATTGGGTTGCGGTCCAAACTAACTTGATGGCAACAAGTTTGTCTATTGCTAATTTAATTCTGTGTGACATTCAAAAAGGTCAATATCACTGTTATGTTTGTCATCTGGTTTCCTCATCTTTGAAATGAGAATTTTCTGTCTCTCACTGAATTGATCTAATCTATATCGACCAACCCAATAGCATAGAACAGAACTACCCCAGAATGTTCTCTAAACTGTAGTCTTTTTGAGGGGCAATAGAAGGTAAATATGATGCCTGGGTTGTTTTTTTTTTGTAATTTGTGAGCTAAGAAGGAATGGTTTTTCCGTTTTCAACTAGAAGAAATGAAAAATATTATCTGTTGATATATGAAAATGATTTAAGAAATTATAATTTTTTAAAAAAATATTGTGGGACGCTTTTAAAGTGGTAGAGCCTTTTGTAGAATATATGCTATGCTTTCTCCTATCATTTTAATCCCATAATCTTTGAAGGAGCAGATTTCGAGGGGTTCTTCTCCCACAGAGCCACTGTGTGGGTTTGAGCCACTGACCTTTCAGTTAGCAGTCAAGTGCATAACTCTTATGCTATGACTACTCCTTATAAGAATGTTAATACTTATTTCATAGGGCTCTCATAAGAATTAAGTAAAATATTTGTAAAGCCCTTAGCCTGGTGCTGTCACAAGATAAACTCATTTCTGTAAAGTCTGAGCAGATCCATAGCTGACTCCAGTGAATTTTCAGAGGACATAAACCACGTGGGAGGGGGTTGTCCAACTTTCTCCTCTGGAACCTCTAGGGGATTTGAACTGCCAGAGAGATGCCACCTTTGGATTAGCAAGGGGACTCCCTGTGCGCTACGCCACCAGAGCTGCATGCCACAAAGTAAGTACATAATAAATGTTTATTCTTATTATAGGGAGCTCTGGTGGCACAGTGGTAAGAAACTGCACTGCCAACCAGCTGCTCTGCAAGAGTTTTGGAGGATCAACTATGGGTTGGTTACAATTATTATGGGTACTCTATAAAAGACTGATTATAAACAGAAATGCCTACATAACTTGGATAAATTAAGGTGCCCCAAAACTATAGATTACAGTATTAAGAATGTGAAACTAAGACTGGCATTGGGTAATAACTAGTATATGGATAATATTGGATAAAACCCTTTGGCATCATCATTTTGTTATAGTGGCACCCTGGGATAGTCATTTTAGTAAGTCTACTTTTAACTTTGTTGTTGTTGGAAACTGAAGCTCAGAAAGGTGGAGAGACTTGCTAAAGGTCACATAGTCAACTAGGGACAGAATTTGGGTTTGAACTCAGGTCTCCCTAGACCTTGACACCATGCTCTTCCTACTGTCCCAAGATGCCTTTCTGTTATGGATTCCTATGTAATATATTGAGCAACAATTACATTGTGCTAGATTCTGGGCCATCCAGAAGTTAATTCTATGAATTTGCCTTGATTCCATGGATTAAGCAGGGAGATAGACACATGGCCCTTCTCTCCCCTTACCTGTTCCGAAGTCAATTGCCCTCAGAGTGTCGGCTATGTACTCTAAATCTAGAGTGAAGTAGTCCATGCTCTCAAAGCCCTGCTCGGTCTTCCCCAGTTGGCAACCCTTGGAAGCTTCTACAATGCTGTGGGACAGAGAGGATAGGATGAGATCTGGGATTTGATGCAGGAAGCAGTGTCATTAGCTCTACTTCACACCAATGCACACGCTTGTGCCCACACCCAGGCCTTGAACCAAGGAACTGCCCGGGAGTAATAGGGTGCTATCTCCGGTCTCTAATAAATTAGTCAAGAGAGCAGGGCATACAAAGCTTAGGAAAGCTAGCCTAGGGTGATACCCTCCCAGCAACCTAATACAAAGGAAGTAACTTGCTGGGAGAAATCAGACACACACACACACACACACACACACACACACACACACACAGCCCCTGAAGAGACACTGACCTTTTGATGAGTTGCTTTGCACTCTGTAGGGAAGAGAAAGAGTATAAAGAGTTAGGACTATGGAATCAGTGGCACCAGAAAATTAGCAAAATTGATGACTTGGTGTTACGTGTGGGCGCTTCGGGACATTTCCTAGCCTGGTGATGGTCTGTTCCCTTCCCTCAGTTTCACACCTATGTCAAAGGTTTGGGGTGTCACTCCAGGATCCTCATTATCCTGGCAGGAAGCCCAAACACTTCTAGATCTTGAAATCTCAAAAATGATAGCCATATCCTTATCAACTTAACACCCAAAGACAGGCACAGAACCTGGGACCCAGCTCAGGAAATTTTTATTTAACTAAAGTGAGGAATTTTGTACCTGAACTCCTTTCTGTCTCCTCAACCAGCCAAAAAGCTTTTCTAGGGCGGAGCAGAGTTTTGCTCCTATCTGTATCTCCACCTCAGTGTCCAGCCTGCCATTCATTGGCTCTTCATAGGCACTGAATTTGGCAGCTTTATAAACCCATTTCACAAACATCCTCTCCCTAGACCAGAAGGAGGCTAGTGATTCTAGCATGTTCAGTTTATAGAGAAAGACATTGAGGACCAGTGATTTATCCAAGGGCACTTGGGTGCTTAGTGGAGGAATAGACATGAGCCTTAGACAGAACTGCTGAGTTGAAACCACCCTGCCCAGCTCCTGGTCCTGCTCACCAAGAGGAAGGTGGCCCCACCAGGCTCGTCCAGGGACTGAATGGCTGTCTCCACCAGCTTGGTGGACTTGTCGAGCTGCTCGCGGTACTGCTGGATGAGGGCCTCTATGAAGTTGAGCTTCTCTTCCTGCTCCACTGTGATCCGCTGCAGCAACTCACTCTTCTTCTCATCCAGTATGGCATAGAGCACATCAAACTTCTGACTTAACTCTTCCTTCACATGGTGACTGTTCTCCTGAAGGCAGAAATCATGGAGTCACACATCCTGGGGGATCCTATTCCTCATCCTCAACACTTCCTTCCTGCTGTAGGCATGCCCAGGAAGAAAACTTTGTAGCAAGAAGATATTTTACTACTACACCTCCATTTGATAGAAGAGGAAATAAAGGCTTGGCAGGAAGATAGCACTTGCTAAGGCTTTTATAGCTAATTAGAATGTATAAGGTCTGGAAGCTGGTGTCATGAAGAACGACTATCCCCCTCCTCAAGAAGTAAAGGCTTTAGGGTCAGATGGGATGCCATATTCTGGGGCTCCCAAGTCACACTCTTCTGCTCATTTTAGAACCAAGACTGGACTCAAGAAGGTCTGCATCATTTGGTCCTAGAAGAAACAGAAGAAGGTTCTTCCTGCACCACCTTCTCTAAGAATCGCTTCTCCCCATCATTGATGTTATATCTTAACTTCCTTATCTACAAAATGGGTAGAATGATAACACTTCATCAGACTTGGGACTCTTGAATCCTTCTTAAAACTGAGATTGCATAGAACAATATCCTTCTCTTCCCTTTGAACAAGACCTTATCCACCAGCAATAATGATGATTTTTTTTTTCTCCCATCTCATTTCCAGGCTCTTACCATACGTGGAGATGGAGAATCATGGATATCTTTATAGGAATGGAAAACTCTCTTCTACAACCTTGCTACTCAAAGTATGGTCCCTGGACCAGAGCTTGGGAGGGGAAAAAACAACACTAGGAGTTTGTTAGAAATATGGAAACACATGCCTCACTCTACAACCACTGAGCCAGAATCTGTATTTTAACAAGATCCATATTAATTTGTCTGTACTCTGAAGTTTGAGGAGCTCTGTTCTACAACACTGCTCTGAAAATTGTTCTCTCAACTCTCACTGACTTTGAGTTGAAACTGACTCACAGCTGACTGTCCAGTGGATTTTCAGAGACTGTAAATTGCACCGGAAGAGATTTCCAGCTTTCTCTCTCAGAGCTTACTGGTGGATTTGAACTGCTGGAGAGACATGGTGTTCAGGTTAGCAGTCCAAGTTCTTGTATACTGTGCCACCAGAATTCTCTCCAAAAACTGTTAATGCCGAAAAAAAATCCCTAGATTTGTTGATGGGACATTCCCTGAGATCAGGGACCAGGTCTGTCTTGTTAACCACATATCCCCAGCACGCTGGGCACTGCCTGACACATAGCTGAATTCCAAAAGCATTTGCTGATTGAGAGAATGAAAATTTGTCTCTCCCCTGATGTTCCTCCTCTGATGGCCACCTCAGGCTGTAGACCCTAGCTTCTAACCCAAGACCATGGGTGATTCTTCAGGCCTCAAGCCAGAGTCTAGGCTGCATTGGAAGGCTTCGGAGCCCCTGGTGGGGCTCTTCCGTCCCCCTCACCTTGGTTATTCTACAAGATTCCTCCAGCTGAGTGATGATGGTCTGCACACGGTCATTCCCTGCCACCAGCATGGAGATGCAGTTACTTAGTTCCGTCTAAATGAGAGTAAGATAGGGAGTCAGTTAGGCCAGGCAGAAACAGTCTCAGGTCTGTCTTTTCTCACAGGACAGTCAAGTGGCACCCTCAGTTCTCTCTCTGCAGGAAGAGCCTCCAGTAGGGGCCTGGCTGCTCATTCTGGGGTTCAGGGCAGGTTCGTAACAGATAATAGCAGAGAAGTAGTGCCTCTCTTAATTTATAGATGAGGCCCAAACAAGAAAAGTGTGTTGCAAAAAAAAAAACCAAACAAACACCACAGCAAAGTACTAGTGAACAGGGAAGTGTCTGGTGTCTAGGAAAGAAGAGATGAAAAAAAGAAATCGAACTGGCAAGTTCTGGAAAAGAGAGGTCAAGAGAAAGGTGAGCAAAAAGTACAGAAAGAGAGGTCCACTGCTTATTGCTGGGACTGGATGGTGGCATACCATAGGAACAGGTGGGAGAAGTTTCTAAGCTGCCACTGATGCAGAGAACTTGGGTTCTGTGAGAACTGAGGGGCACTAACGTGCTGGGCTAGAGAAGCCATGGCCTGAGAGGGCCCTGCTGGCCTAGCCCTGGGGTCTGGCCTCTCCCCTGTGGCCACACCCAGGTGCTCTCAAATGGCTCTAAGTATAACCCATGAGCTCAGCTACCTCCCCCAGGAAGGCAAGGGCTGCTGTCCCTGTCTCCTGGGAAGTACCCCCCCCCCCCCCCGCCAGGGGGACTATTCCTGAAAGGCCGGCTCAGCACATCTACAAAGATCAGCTCTGCGTCCTAAATCACCGCTGTGCCTGACAGACCAGGCTGGGAGTGGAAGCAGCTTGGGTTGGTACCTTTTGTCCTTGGAAGACATTCTGCAGTGGGGCCACCTCACAGGCTTTGTGGGCCCCAAACACCTTGCACATGGAACAGGTGGGCACCTCACAGGTGAGGCAGTAGATGTTGATCTTCTCATCTTCGTGCTCCTTGCACATGGGGTGGTTGCCCTTCTGCAGGGGCCGACTAAAGAGGAGAACAGTCACCAGTCATGGGGATGTGGGGACGTCCTGAGTCCCTGCCTCCAGCTCAAGTCAGAGGAGGCCACCCTAGATGTCTGGTTGCTGCCCCAAACCTTTTCTCTTCACCCTCTGGAAACTCAGGACCAGAGAAATCAATGACTGTCCCACATCCAAGGAAACAACCTCCAGTTTGCTGAGTTAAGAGCACGTGAAAAGGGCCATAGAGTTTCAGAGAGTCAAAGCAAAGATGTTTGAGAGAAGAGGGAACTGGGGCCCAGAAAGGTGAATTGACTTCTCCAAGGTCACCCAGCCTGTCAGGCAGAATAGACTGTAATGCGTCTGCTCTAATTATAGTCACCAGAGTTCTTAGTTACCATGGGCTCTGGGCTAAGCATTTTATACTCATGGCCTCATTTCATTTTATGTTTGATCCACCAGACTGTAGTCCTTATTGAGGCAGGGAAAGCTGCTCACTTCTCCACCCCAGAATCGATAGGGTATAGTGCCTGACATAGTGATAGTGATCATTAAATGCAGAAAGAAAGAATAAATCTTGTGGCACACCACCAGGGCACCCCAAGGCTCAGAGGATGAAGCATTGTCTGTCCCAAGTCACATAATTAGAGCCCAAGTGACCCAGGGCTGTTCACCCTCCCAGCACAAGCCTTGACTCTTAGTCCAAAGAGTCTTCCCAAGGTCAGAGTCTCTTTATTTTCTTTCTTCACAAACGCACATTTCCAGAATATCTTTCTCCTTTTATCTTATGCTCATTGAAGGCCTTTGATATGTTTATTTGTGCTCCTCTTGGGGCACTCTATGGTCACTTCCTACCATAGATCCAATCTTAAGAGGCCCAGGTCTTACCTCCCCATTGAGGCTATGCACTCATTTATAGCCAGTACCATGCCTCATTGTCTGTGCTCTAACAAGGCCGTGTCACGTAAGTGACTGTCCCCATCAATGTCAATTGCACAGCTGACAAGAAAGCAATAGGAAGCAGACTTCCCTGTACTCTGTAAGTGGTCGTTAAAATTATTTTTTAAAAAAATCCCTGTAATAGAATGAAATATATAATGAAATATATATATAATGAAATATATATATAATGAAATATATATATATAATGAAATATATATAATAAAATATATATATATATAATGAAATATATATATATATATAGAGAGAGAGAGAGAGAGAGAGAAGCATCCTCTTCCTCCAGAAGATCAATTGAGAAAGAACTTCTTATCAAACTGAAGCACTTTGCTGATCTTTGCCTCTCCAGCCTATAATCTACAGCTGAGATTTACTCCTCTTTGGTCATGACATGCAGATAACATCCAGCTATCTCTGGAACCTTGATAAGACAATGCTGATTAGCCTAGGATGCAATCCCCAGGACCAAACCCCTGGGTGAGAAAAGATATGGTGGATGAACCTGCTGTCCTGTGTCTCTCCTATATAAGGCCCCCAAACCTTCAAGGCAGGAAGGCAGAGATCATACCCTCTCCTTTATGTTGTTTTTATTATGCCATTGAGTTGGAACTGACCTCCAGCAGGTTTTCAGAGGCCATAAATTGAATGAGAGGAGATTATCTTTCTCCCAGAGCAGTTAGTGGATTCTAGCCACATGCCTTTAGGTTGGCAACGAAATTCCTTACCACTAAGTCACCATATCTCCCACCTCCTATACACCTGGATATAATATATGTACTTTTTCTAATCTAACGCCTGTCTTTAAGATTGGTCCTTCTAGTGGCTGGTAATCAACCTGCTTTGCAATAACAACATCCTAGGTGTGTTGTCCCCTTAAGTTACTGAATAAGGCCCTTTCAATGAGACCTTGAAAGAGTGATCTTTTGTATCTGTAGCCTAAGGCTCCACATGGTGAGAAGGGTCTCCCCTTGCTACCTATCTCTATCCATTGGGAAGGGAGCACTGGGGTAGCACCAGCTTCTGAGAAAGGCATAGCTCCTGCTCTGAGCTAAGCATTTTATATACATAGCTTCATTGAAGTCTATATTTAAGCCACCAGACTGTAACTTCCCTCAAGGCAGGGAAAGTTTCTCATTTTTCTCAAGCTCTGAATCTACAGTGTATAGTGCATGGTTAATAATGGCAATAACTAAATGCAAGTAGAAAAAAAAATCAGAAAGCACTTCATGTGTCTTGCAGGTCTAGTGCCTTGTGCCCACTTCCCTCTCAGATGCCCAAACTCCTGTACCCGGGCTTTTGCATCTGGCTTCAGATCCAGATGATTCTGCCACTTGCTTTGTTGTGACCTCAGACAAGTGGTTTCACCTCTCTGAACTTTGGTCTCCTCCTAGGGCCACTGTGATCATAGCAGGAATTGTGTGGAATGAGTCGTGCCTGGCTCAGAGCAGACTCTCGTAAGGGGCAGCTGTCATTGCCATTCAATGATGCAGCAATGTCTGGAATGGTTCAAACCCACTGTGTGGTCTTGATAAGTCAACATCAGCTGGGTTAATATTTTGATGTAATACCAGCTTTATCATTATTATAGAGATCAGCCACACATTTGTATGATTGAAATGTATAACTCCATCAACAGGAGAAGCAATTTGCTTCAAACTCAAGCTCAACTCACTACCATCGAGTCAGAATTGACTCATAGCTGACCCTACAGTAGGTTTTCAGGGACTGTAAATCACATGGGAGAAGACTGCCCATCTTTCTCCTGCAGAGCAGCTGGTGGATCTGAACCATGTGCCTTTGGGTTGGCAGCACAATGCTTCACTCACTGGGCCACCAGAGCCCCCTCAATCTGCATAGTAGTTAGGAATATCCACTGCGGAGTCACCTAGACTGGGCTCTCACTCAGTTTCATGCGTTACTTGCTCTGTGACTTTGGTAACCTCTGCTCCACTCTGAGCCTTCATTCCTTCACCATAAAATGAGGATAATACCTTAGCAGGTTATTATGAGGACTAAATAAGACAAAGCCTGGAAAATGCTTAGCACAGGGTCTACAAATAAAACAAAATGAAACCCACCACCATTAAATCTATGTTTATCACAACCACATAAGACATAGCAGAACTGCCGCTAAGAAGCTGCCACTACTGTAAAACTTTACAGGAGATTGATTCTTCTTTTTCCTGTGGAGTGACTGGTGGATTTGAACCACTAGCCTTTTGGTTAATATCTAAACATTCCATCATTACTCTGCCTGGGCTCCTAGTGCCCAAGCATTAAAAAAAAAAAAATATTGTAATCTCATTAATACTGAGTGAATTCTGACTCATAGTGATCCTATCTCAAAAACTTACTGCTTAAAAAAAAAAACAACTGGTTTTTTGTTTTTTGTTTTTTTTTTACCTTTCCTGTCAAGATCCTAGAGAGGTCTGGTGGCCTAGTGGTATGGAGCTGTGCTTCCAACTCAAAGGCATGCAGTTCAAATCCATCAGCTGCTCTGCTGGAGAAAGATGGGCCATCTCCTGTACAATATACTGCCTCTGAAAAACCACTCGAGGGTCATTTATGAGTCATTCTAACTCAATGGTACATAATAACACCAACATCCTACTTCCTGGGTACAATAACATCTTACAGTCTCCTTTTGGAGACAAGGGAAATAAAGGCCCAAAGACCAATGCTTTAACCAGGTGTGTTAATAACAGAGTCAGACTGCAAAGCTCCCCAGGTCAGGGCTCTTTCCTATGAGGCCTACCCTCCCACCCTCCCTGGAGCAGGGCGCTGCCAGCAGACAGATACTCAGTGAAGGTTTTGGACTGTGAGAGCTGAGGGATCAGGCACCTGGATGTCTTGTCACGATGTCCTGATTGTAAAGCTCTCTGCAGTTTGACACTAACATTGCGTAACTTGTACCACTCACAAACTCTGCCCGAGACTGAGTTGTTATTTTCTAAACAGGGAAACTTGGGGCTAGCTCAACTGTGTCCACTCCCAGATCTTCTCACTCCCAGCTGTAAAGCCTTAGGTAAGTGACTTGACCTCTCTGAACCTCAGCTTCTTCATCTGTGAAATGGGAATACTATGAGTCATGGCGGATTCACAGGGTTGCTGTGAAGTGCCAAGAAGAAGCACTGTACCTACTGACCTATGGAAGGGAGCTACTGCTGTTGTAAGAAAGAATCTGCTGAAGTCCCCCTCAGGACTCTCTCTGTTCATCAGGGCAACTAAGCTGCCCCAAGCATCTCTCTGCCTCATCTGTCTCATCTTCCCACTGATTTTGGTCTCAGCATCTCCCAGAAGGGCAACTTGGGCTCATCCCTGTCTGAGGGGCACTAGGAACCAGGTAGAACACATGTTCAGGAAAAAGGACATGGCCCTCTGCAATGCTGGGACCTGGCTGAGCAGAGGAAGAGGGAAGGCTGGGGAGAGCTGGTATAGAATGGCTGGGGAGGAGGTGAGCTGACCTGGAGCACTCCTGCTTGTAGATGTCAATGATGTTCTCCACCAGCAGATTCCTCTGCAGGCCGTACACTCCATGACGGTCCATGATCACCTCGTGGCGGCAGGAGGGGCAGCGGAAACGGCCTCCAGACATGGACACTGAGCTGCCCCGGCTGGTCCAGTAGGGATTTGCAGCCTGCAAGTGGCAAGGGCAGAGGTGGGGCCTGGGCTTCCTTCATGGCTCCATAGCTCTTTCCCTTTGTAATCTCCTATTATCTCTCCCCACCTCTCCCTATCCCAGCCTTCCCTGCTGGACCATATGCCTTGGAGCTCCTCACCATGATGAGATTCATCCCATTTTATACTCAGAGCAGCTGAGAAGCAACAAAATAATCAACAGGATAAAGGCCCGCTATGGGAATCGCTGGATCCAGGTTCCATTCACATTTATTTGCTGCATGACTTTAAGTAATTTTCTCTCTCTAAGCCTCAATATGCTCCTTCAAAAAATTGGGCATTATAATTATAGCAGACTTCTAGGGTTGCTATTTTGAAAACAAAACCATGAAAGAGCATTTTGTAAGGTGCTCCTGGGGAAACTTGATTTGGGGATCATCCCAGCTGGGACATCTACTTCCATTCCCATTTCTTAGGGAGATGGAGCATCTCACTCCCCCCAGATTCTAACAGCCTGCCTTCCCACCAACCTCCTCCCAGACCTCTGGCCCCTTGCCACTGCCAAGTTGGCTCTGGCCCCGAAGGTCTGGTTTCTTTCTTCTCTCAGCCTGCCTCCCCTACTTATCACTTGAGGCATTTGACTCATGATTAAAGAGTCAACTGCATTGTTTAGGGTAGGGGTGGGAGAGCAACGGGCTCGCTGGGGTGGGTGGTGAGGACGCATGAGTCATTGACAAGGGCTGGAATAGCCCTAGCAATCTGCTCAGAGCCCCTCTGCAGAGACAAAGGCCCCTCCCTGCAGGGGATCATGTTAGAGGGGACAGAGCAGCCATGGTCTGGAAAGATTTCTGGCTAGGGGAGAAAAGAATTTCATTACAGGGAAGCTGAGAAGCCCCCTGGGGCCCCAGATCTAGGCCATGCCTGGCCCTGACACTGACCTGGAAGATGTCGTTGGCACACTTCCGGCAGAGGTTATGCTGGCACGGCAAGATGACCACCGGTTTGGTAAACATCTCCAGGCAGATGGGACAGATCAGCTGCTTCTCCAAGTTCTCCATTGGGTTTCCATCCTGAATCAGGCTGGACTTGTAATCCATATTGTCTGCAGATTCAATCCCGCTTGGCTGCCTCCTTTACCTGTGCCTGGCCCTGTTCTTGTCTTTGTCACAAAACACCCGCTCGGCTTCTCTTTGCCTCTTTCTCCTGGCGCCCAAATTCTGTGTTGGTCTGAGGCCCCTCTGATATTTATAACTGGACCCCAGTCACATGAGCCAGGGAGGGGACCAGCTGAGCATTCCGATGCCAGCCGGCTGGCGGGGCTTGAGTTTCCTCCAGGCCTGAAAGGCTTGCCCTCTCAAATCACACGTGGGGATGAGCAATCGCTGTTCCCCTGGGATGGGGGTCGTAAACAAGTACAGCTTGTCCAGTGGAAGGCTTAGGGGAGGACCAGGTACCTAGAGTTTCTTCCAGAAATTGGTCTCCCCCACCCCAGGCTGGTAAGGCTGGGCTGGGCTCGGAGTGAACCATTGGGATTCCCGAAGGTAATAGCCGGGGCCCCTCAAGGACAGGAGAGTGACTATCCGACCCAAGTCCTTTGCCTCCTTTAGAGTCATAGGCAGCTCCCAACATGTGAGACCAAGAGACTGTTTCTGAGCCCATTTCTCTGCCTTGAACTTGAGCACAGTTTTTGTTAGACTCTTTGGAGACCCCACCCTTCAACTCTGAATGGAGACTCTACCTTTCCATCGATTTTAAGGCTCCTAAGAGGTCCCCTCATCCCTTGACCATCTTCCACCTTCATGTTGAAAGAGCTCCCTAGAGCTCATCTGATTCTATTATTTTATAGTTAAGAAACTGGGGTTTAGAGAAAAGAAAGGGACTTGTCACGTAGAAAGTATGTGGCAAAGACAGGAATCATATTAATTCATCAAACATTTCTGTGACTGTATGTTAGACACCAAAGTGACAGGTAGATGAGTAATCCAGTAATCCCTTTCTCTGCCCTGAGATGGGAAATACCCGGGAAGCAGAAGAGAGAAACCATTATCCTACAGAACCACAAAGCTTCTACCTAGAGCTGCAGAAGTTATCCAGATACTGCCCTCTGCACATATTTTTAAATTAATTATAATGAATGTTTACAGAGATTTTGGATTTTCATTCATTCATTGTTGCATTTTTCTCCCTGCCCACCTCTCCCACCTCACCCAGTTCACTCTTTTTGTAAAGTAAAAGAAAAATTCTTTCAATGGTATACTATCCCTCCTCCCAGTACACTCCACTATGCAACCTTCATTCTGGACTCTTGTCATAACCATCATACCAATCATATATCGCTTTTAAACAGTTCTCTCTCTCATCTGTTTCAATGCAGTATACATAATTTATCCAATCTTTCTCAGTCTCACCCAAACCCTGATGTAAGTCCTGTTCTACAACAGTGGCACTATGCAGTTTTCGTCCTTTTGTGACTGAGATATTTCACTCAGCATAATGTCCTCTGCACATATTTTAGATTTGTTTTCATGTCCTTCCAGACATCTTCTTCCATGTTGGCAAGCTGCTCTTGTGTTGTTATTATCAAGTCAGTTCTCACTCACATCAGCCCATATGGACAGCAGAAGTAAGCGCAGCACAGTTCTGAGCCATCCTCAGAGTCGCTGCTGGGCATGAGCCCATTGCTATAGCCACTACATCAGTCCATCCCATTGAAGGGTTCCCTCATTTTTCACTGACCAAGCATGATGCCTTTCTCCCCTCTTAATAACATGCCCCAGGTATGTGACATGAAACCGCCAAAGAACATCCTGGCTGCACTTTTCCCAAGACAGAGTTCTTTGTTCTTTTGGCTGTCTGAGTTGTATTCAATACCATCGTCAACAGGACCCAAAGGCATAAATTATTCACTGGCCTTTCTCACTCATGGTCCAATGTTCAGATGAATAAGAAAATATCATGGCTTGAGTGCAACACACCTTAGTCTATAAACTGATATCCTTGCCCCTTAGCACTCAGTCCCTTTGAGGCCTGCTTGTCCAATGCAATGCATCATGGGCTTTCTTGACTGCTATTTTCATAGTTATTGATTGTGGATCCAAATAAAATGAAATCTTTGACAACTTCAGTCTTTTTCATCTATCATGATGATGTTGCTTCTTAGTCCAGTTATGAGGACTTTTGTTTTCTCTGTGTGAGGTGAACATAGTCTTGAAGGGAGCTCTGGTGGCCTAGTGATGAAAAGCTGTGCTGCAATCCCAAAGACACGCATGTCTAATCTACCAGCTGCTCTGCAGGAGGAGGATGGGCGATCTCCTCCTGCGCAGTTTACTGCCTCTGAAAACTCACTGGAGGATCAGCTGTGAGTCAGTTCTAACTTCAAGATGCACAACAGGAAGAAGATAGAGTTTTTTTAAACTTCATCAGTAAGCTGGCTTCAAATCATGACAATTTAGTTTAACAGATGAAACATTGCCCGGTCCCACAGCATCCTCACACTTGTTAATGTGTTTTAGTCTGTTGTTGCAGCTCTAACGTCAATCCATCTCCTGGAAGGTTTCCCACATTATCATGGACCCTCCACTTTATCACATATGATGTCCTTTTATACTGATTGATCTTTGCTGATGACATGTCCAAAGTGAACAAGGCAGTTTCACCAGCCTCTCCCTTAAGATGTGCTCTGTCTGTACTTCCTCCAACACTAATTTGTTTGTACTCCTAGCAGTGAACAATAATATAGTCATTATTCTTTACCAGCACTACAGTTCAAACCCATCCATTCTCCTTTGATTTTTTTTTTCATTGTCCAGCTTTTGCATTCATTATGTTGTTGTTATGTGCCATTGAGTCACCACCTGCGACTCATAGCAACCCTATGTACAACAGCTTTGAAGCCAGCCGTGTCCGGAGCCAGCGTCACTGGCTTCAGCACACCTACCCACAAATGCCCCAGTTACTGAATCAATCCTTCTCATCCGGGGTCTTCCTTTCCTGAGCTGTCCCTACACCCTTCTGAGCATGATGTTATTCTCCAAGGATGGGTCCCTCCTGGCCACGTGCCCACAGTATGTGAGATGGAGCTTCAAAATCCTAGCCTTCAGGGAGAAATTTGGTTTCACCCTCTCCATGACAGATCTGTTTGTTCTCTTGGCAGGCCATGATATGTTCAAGACTGTTCTCCACAACTCAAAGGCATCAATTCTTTTTCTGTCATCCTTAGTCATTGTCCAGCTCTCTGATGCATAACAAGTAATTGCGAAGACAATGACCTGGATCAGGTGCATCTTAGTCTCTAGACTGACACTGTTGATTCTCAACACTCTGGAGAGGTCCTTGATAGGACATTTTCCCAGTGTAATTCATCTTTTGATTTGCTGGCTGCTGGTGCCAAGGGTGTTGATGGTAGAGCCAAGCAAGCTGTAATTATTAACAAACTCAGTCTCTTCTCCATTTATCGTAGTGCTGCCAATTGGTCCAGTGGTAGAATCTTTGTCTTCTTGATGTTGAACTTCAATCTATATTGAAGACTACAGTCCTTGACCTTCTTCAGTAAGTGCTTCAGTTTCAGCAAGCAAGGTTATGTCATCTGCATAACATAGATTGTTGGTAAGTTTTCCTCCAATCCTCATGCCACCTTCCTCCTTACAAGGCCCATCCTCACAAATGATCTCTTCTGCATGTAGATTGAAAAAGTATGGAGACAGTATGCATCCCTGACACACTCCTTCCCTGATTTTGAAGTATAAAGTGTTTCCTTGCTTTGTTCTGAGAACTGCTTCCTGGTTCAAGTATAGGTTTCACATAAACACAATCAAGAGTTCTGGGACTGGGAATTGAAAAGACCATGGCTTGGACCTGAGTTCTCAAAGTGGCATCTTTATTCTTCAACACTTTAAAGAGGTCATTTACAGCAGCCTTTACTCCCCCAATAAAATATGTTATTTAATTTTTGAATGCTGTTTCCAGGCCATTGGTTGTTAATACAAATCAAATGAAATCTTTTGTTGTTGCTGTTGTTTTTGGGTGCCAACAAATCACTTGTGACTCATTGCGACCCTATAAACAACAGCTCTGAACCTTGCCCCATCCTGTGCCATTCTCATGATCTCAGTCCTGCTAAGCCTGTTATGGTAGTGACTGTATCAATCCATCTCATTGAGAATATTCCTTTTTTTGTTGATCCTCTACATTTCCCAGCATGATGTCTCTCTCCAAGGACTAGTTCCTCCCCAAAGTAGCTAGAATAGTACATTGAGAAAGAACTGCCAGGAGTTCAAGCTGGGTTTAGAAGAGGCCGTGACACCAGGGATATCATTGCTGATGTCAGATGGATCCTGGCTGGAAGAAAATACTGAAGAAAGTCTATTTGAGTTTTATTGACTATATAAAGGTGTTTGACTGTGTGGATCATAACAAACTATGGATATCATTGAGAAGAATAGGAATCTCAGAACACTTAATTGTGTTCGTATAGAACCTATATCTAGACCAAGAAACTGTTATCTGGACAGAGTAAGGGAATGCTACATGGTTTAAAATCAGGAAAGGTGTGCGTCAGGGTTGTGTTCTGTCTCCATACCTATTGAATCTGTACATTGAGCAAATAGTTCAAGAAGCTTGACTCTATGAAGAAAAATGTGGCATCAGGATAGGAGAAAGGCTCATCAACAACCTGCATTATGCAGTTGACACAACTGTGCTTGCTGAAACTAGGGACTTGAAATTCTTGCAGCAGAAGAACAAATATTACAGCCCTCATTATGGATTGCATCTCAATGTCAAGAAGACAAAAATTCTCACCACTGGATCAATACGCAGTATCATGATAGATGGAGAAAAGATTGAAATTGTCAATGATTTCGTTTTACTTTGATTCATAACCAACACCCTTGATACCAGCATTCAGGATATTAGGAGATGTATTGCACTGGACAAGTCTGCTGTCTGGGGCATCTCCAAATCACTGAGGAACAATGGTTTCAGTTTGAAGACTGATTAGGCCTGATTCAGGCCCTGAGCTGTTCAATCACTTACTATACTGCTGAGAGCTGGACAATGAAGACTTAGGATGGATGTAGGATGACAGAAGAAGAATTGATGCCTCAGTTTGAAGACTGATTAGGCCTGATTCAGGCCCTGAGCTGTTCAATCACTTACTATACTGCTGAGAGCTGGACAATGAAGACTTAGGATGGATGTAGGATGACAGAAGAAGAATTG